CAAAACTGAAAAAGCTACAGCAAATAACTAAGAATGCTGACATGTGTGGTTGTGGAGGTTGGTTTAGATACAATAACTATTGCATAAAAATTTATATTAAAAGCACATTTGTACATATGTATGTAGAAGAAATACTAGTATTACTCTAAGTACCTACTCTTACAGCTCATATGTCACATGTAACAGAGAAGCTGTTGTTTTTGTTTACAGCTCTCAGTATTCTTTTTCCATATAGCTTTAGCTTGTCATAGTGTTCTAAATGTTTTTGCAATAAAAATAATAATACTTATTAAAAAAAAAAATATGCTTATTTTATTTTTAATTTTAAATCGTATTTGCGTAATACTATACAACAATAATAGCAACATGAAAATAAATCTAGTTTTAATACAACTGGTTCACAATGCTCGATCATGCAACCAGAAGACATTCACATCTAATCAAAGAAACCAACAACATACTTAGTAGAGTTACTTTTTATACACATACATACATACATAAGTACTTATTTAGATAGATTTGTACTTAAATGTTGATATACCCAGTAAATAAAATTTTAAATTTTTAGAAAATATTTTCCTCTCAATTCATTTGAAAATTTTACTGATCGTTATACGACCCTTGAGCTTTGATCATATTAAATGTAGGGGGATTATTTCTAATGACTTTTTATTAACTTTTTCTGATTGTATGTCTTGTCATTAGAATATGAAGTCGAAGTGCTTTACGTGAGTACCTGGCGTGGAGGCCTATCTTACGGTGGTACTTTTACAACCACTGGTGGAGTAACAAGTAAACAACTCACCACTGCCCCTTATGTATCTTACACGCAGGTCGCAATTTTTGTACATGGATATGCCGGTCCATGTACAAGCACTCTGCTCAAGTACTCGAGCTATCTAATCTCTTGCCAAAGTAGTCACGTTGGAAAATCGCTAATAAATTAAAGAAAGGGCAGTGACGACCTTGCACCATACACTCCTCCCCACTGCTAGACCGTAGTCTAACACATCGTTCAACGTTCATCGTTACACCATTATCACACATCCGTCAAATCCATCAATCACTCCATTATCTCTATAGAATCAAAGTAGACATCGGAAACATCGTTCATCTTCGTTTACCCAGTCTTTGCATTATCAGTTCAATTCCAACATTTTATTAATCCACAGTCATGCTCTGCAATTTGTACTGCTCCTTGCATCTAGGAACGATAACAGAAATGTATCATGAAAATTTATATTTCACCGTGTATCAGTCTTTTAACCAAGCACCCCCTTCCTGCAATTTAGGTTTCAATCACAGCCACTACGTGGATACCGAAGGAACCTCAACCAACTGACCAGCCAGGACAAGTCCTGTGGGCAACTGGCCACCCGTAGTACCAGATTATGTGGTGCTCTGGTTAGACCTATTTCCAATTTATGCAAGGACTAGGCCAGGCACTAAATTGTCAACACCAATTTATAGTCCCGGAAGACTACAGGTATTGGTAGCACCTATCTACCACCGGATTGCAATACACCAAGATGCGGTCTGACATCAAGGAAACATGCCCGGGGGGCTCATTAGAATATGGAGTAAAATATTTACTGGGTAGATGAATAAATTAATGCTAATGTATTTGCAAACTTATAAATTTACAAATCCAGGCTTACGCCAACTTCTATGTACATGTGTAATATTGTAAAAAATATGTTTTAAATGTATGTGTGTTTTTATGTGTTAATGTCTCTTATATCAAGTTTAATTAATTAATAATATTCATTGCAACTTATGAAATTGTGATTTGTTTAATAATAGAAAAAATTAGCTATTTTAACACGGGGATGATATTTGAGACAAGAACTTACCACGTTCGCTTACAAATAGAAAGTTGGGTAAGTACTTACTACAATCGCCTGCAAATAAGCAGTTTTGTTTCTGAGAAAGACGAGAAGACGTATCCACTGCGTCTATTATAAGTTTAATAAAACAAATTTCGTTTGTGTTAAAAGCAAAGTTCGATAACATTGTGTCAAGGCTAAAAAGTAAGTACTCACATAATATATTATTTGTAAGTAATTACTTGGCTCCTTCTAAGTAATGCAGAAGGTATTTCTAAAATATTAAATTGGGCTAAATCTAAATCTGGCTTATATTCAAGATTCTATCAAAATCCTCTTTGGAACAAATTTTTCTAAAGAAAATCTACTTTGGGACAAAATTTTCTAAAAGAAAATTATGTTCGGGACAAACTTTTTCTATAGTAAATTTCGATTGGGATAAAATGTTTTTATATAAAATAAGATTTAAGACAATTTTTTTACAGAAAATATTGTTTGGGACAATTTTTATAGAACACTGGCTATACCCAGTGTACTTTGCTACCCTTTTGAAGATTCTAACTATAATAGTTTTCAAGATATACAATGTTTTACAAATGGGAGATGCCACGCTAATTATTGCAAGTTCTCTAATTTTTTCGAACGTTAATTAAAATTTTAAAAATTCTAATAGTTTCCCAAATATACGAAATTTTGTATTTAATTCATATGGGAGATGACAAACCACCCCGTCACCGCCATTGACAGTCCGCCCGTTATTCTCTAAATGTTCACATGAATGCCAAACTTCTTCATGTAGAATTTAAAGAGTTTAGCTGTAATAGTTTCTCAGATATACTAATTTTTCTATTTAATTCATATGGCAGCTCCATAGATTTAAACTGTAATAGTTTCCAAGATAAACTAATTTTTGTATTTAATTTATATGGGAGGTGCCACGCCCCCTGCTACTAGTATGGCGGCTCCATAGATTTAAACTGTAATAGTTTCCAAGATAAACTAATTTTTGTATTTAATTTATATGGGAGGTGCCACGCCCCCTGCTACTAGTCTGCCCACTTTTTGTCTTAAATAATCATATTGACATTAAAGTGCCTTCGACAAAATTTGAGAACTCTAAATGTTATACTATTTCAGATATGCTAATTTACTAGTTTACTAATATGGGCGTGGCTCCTAGCCCACTTGTTATTTTAAAATAAAAAGTAACCTCTTTTGGACATACAGGAATACACTGTGATATAAAAATAAAATAAAAAATTTTGGAAACATTAAAAAAATACCTATCTGAACTCCTTTGGACAATTTTTGCTAGGACCAATAGGTGAAAAGTTACACTCATTTGAAAAAAACCCCGTATGACCAAAATGACCAACTCTAAGTCCGGCAGCTCTGGACCGATAGCTGGCCTACTATCCAATAGTACTAACCTTGGTGCAAATTTCTTCAAAATCGATTTTTTGAGTTGGATCACTTGATATGAAATTGCCCATATATATAGGTATACTTAGATGGATTTAGTTTGCGACAATCAATATTAATCTAAAAGATGTTCAAAAAAATAATCTTTGCAGTTAAGCGGTTAACTTGTTCCGTGATGTTTACGGAATTCGAATCGATGGCTTGCTTATAGGTCTATAGAAGGATGCTAGCGTTAAACCCTATTTTCCAAATGTTTGGATAAACTAGAAACAAGATTGCATTAAGTAATACTGTGAGCACAACATCAACTAATATTGATTAGCTCAGAGGTAACTTTCATAACTTAAATCTTCAACATATACAATGGCCATTTCCCTAGACCTTGTGCCTATGTTCCATCGGATTTTCTTAGCCGAAGAACATGAAATCTCTAAAAATCAAGAAAAAGTTTTTAATTTGGTTATGAATAAACTTCATCATCATCAAATTATATATCGTCTTTCAAAAGTAAGGAAAGTTGAATCGTGGCACCTGACTCTTCCAGATCATTTAGGCCCTAATGTGTTAATATAGACATAAGGGCGGATATGGATCATGATATAGGAAACATTTATTATTGCGGGGAGCTCATTATTCTCAAATATTAATTAAATCATTCTCAAGCTAACATCAGTATTAATCGTAAATATCTACTGGACCTGTTTATTTACATGTAAATAATTTTTGATCAGTAATAATCAGGTCAAAATTGAATAAATATTACTTTAATTTTTTCTATTTTTTAGCACGTTTTCATATGGGGAAATGCTTTGTGTAAAAATATAATTATTATTTTTCTTCAAAAAAAAAAAAAAAAAAAAAAAAAAGAATAGCTTTTAGTGTATTAAAATTTTTATTAAAAGTACACTGCAAAAAATGTAATAGAAAAATTTAAAAGAAATTCATTAATATATTTGAGAAATTGTTTTCATGCAATTTAAACTTTGTTAAATTGGAATAGACAAAATATCAATGTTCTTATCCAACCATTTCAATAATCTTTCTTTAAGTGTAAAATTATGCATAAATGAAGCATGTAACATTTTCTTTTACGGCTTTTTCTTTCACCATATGCCGGAGGTCGAAAGTTACTGGAACAAAATACTACTGTGGTTTAATTACTTATTGCAAATTGCAAAAACAAAACCGAACCGAAGAAAAAACGTAAAACAAAGAAATTTATAAAAAAAGTAATAATCATACAACATCTTAAAAACATTTTTATGTTCATATTTCTTTTGCATAATTTCCAAATACAATCATCACTACAACACTTTTTACACAAATTTTCGTAAGATGCCAATAAAATAAAGAAGAAACCATCACAAAGATTTCCTGGGCAATCAATAACAATGTAACAACTCAAAGAGAAAAAAACACTTACATGACAACTGACCAACTGATTGGCTGTAAATATTTGTCTAAATTTTGTAATATTTTTGTGAGTGTTAATAAGCTAAAATAACACTTAAAGTGCGTTGAACTTTTACAAAGTATTTATTAATAAAAGATTTTACTGTTCAACTTCTTTCTGTTTCTGTTTGTGTTTGTGTTTTTTTTTTTTTTTTGTTCATTTGGCAGTTTGTTGCCAAATATTATTAATACTACTCACTCGTACTTGTTATTTTGTATTTAAAAGTATTTAGGTTTTTTTATACATATTTTTTCGAGTTTGGGTTTTATATTTCAGATATTTTTTTTTAGTTTTCTTACCTTCCAATTTGTTTTACCATTTGATGATGCGTGTTTGCCACAAACGTTACTGTCTCTCATATTACTGCTGTTGTTGTTATTGTTATTATTACTGCTAGTATTATTGTTGTTATTATTATTTACAAGACTTTTTGGCGTTTTATCGGAGGCAGAACTTTTTCCATCACTACTACTGCTAGTCTTTTTATTCTGAAATTCAAAAATAGAAAATTTATTAATTAAAAATGTTAATTATTTGCTTAATTTAAAAAAGAATGGTTAACAAATGTAATGGAAAATTGTTTAAAATTTCATTTTTGAAAGTAATAGCTTTTTTACAAACACAATCTGAATTTGAAATAAACTGTTACGGAACTCAAACTATGGACTAAATTATACTGAAACATTTATACTTTAGACTAAACTATAGATTACAATATAGAGTAGACTGTAGACTTGAATATGGACTCGACTATAGAATAGACTATAGACTATAGATTAGACTGTAGACTTGAATATGGACTCGACTATAGAATAGACTATAGACTATAGATTAGACTATAGACTAGACTATTAGAATAAAGACTAGACTATAGACTAGACTATAGACTATAGACGAGACTATAGACTAGACTATAGACTAGACTAGACTATAGACTATAGACTAGACTATAGACTATAGACTAGACTATAGACTAGACTATAGACTAGACTATAGACTAGACTATAGACTAGACTAGACTAGACTAGACTATAGACTAGACTATAGACTAGACTATAGACTAGACTATAGACTATAGACTATAGACTAGACTATAGACTATAGACTATAGACTAGACTATAGACTATAGACTATAGACTAGACTATAGACTAGACTATAGACTAGACTATAGACTAGACTATAGACTAGACTATAGACTAGACTATAGACTAGACTATAGACTAGACTATAGACTAGACTATAGACTAGACTATAGACTAGACTATAGACTAGACTATAGACTAGACTATAGACTAGACTATAGACTAGACTATAGACTAGACTATAGACTAGACTATAGACTAGACTATAGACTAGACTATAGACTAGACTATAGACTAGACTATAGACTAGACTATAGACTAGACTATAGACTAGACTATAGACTAGACTATAGACTAGACTATAGACTAGATTATAGACTAGACTATAGACTAGACTATAGACTAGACTATAGACTAGACTATAGACTAGACTATAGACTAGACTATAGACTAGACTATAGACTAGACTATAGACTAGACTATAGACTAGACTATAGACTAGACTATAGCCTAGACTATAGACTAGACTATAGACTAGACTATAGACTAGACTATAGACTAGACTATAGACTAGATTATAGACTAGACTATAGACTAGATTATAGACTAGACTATAGACTAGACTATAGACTAGACTATAGACTAGACTATAGACTAGACTATAGACTAGACTATAGACTAGACTATAGACTAGACTATAGACTAGACTATAGACTAGACTATAGACTAGACTATAGACTAGACTATAGACTAGACTATAGACTAGACTATAGACTAGACTATAGACTAGATTATAGACTAGACTATAGACTAGACTATAGACTAGACTATAGACTATAGACTATAGACTAGACTATAGACTATAGACTAGACTATAGACTAGACTATAGACTATAGACTAGACTATAGACTAGACTATAGACTAGACTATAGACTAGACTATAGACTAGACTATAGACTAGACTATAGACTAGACTATAGACTAGACTATAGACTAGACTATAGACTAGACTATAGACTAGACTATAGACTAGACTATAGACTAGACTATAGACTAGACTATAGACTAGACTATAGACTAGACTATAGACTAGATTATAGACTAGACTATAGACTAGACTATAGACTAGACTATAGACTAGACTATAGACTAGACTATAGACTAGACTATAGACTAGACTATAGACTAGACTATAGACTAGACTATAGACTAGACTATAGACTAGACTATAGACTAGACTATAGACTAGACTATAGACTAGACTATAGACTAGACTATAGACTAGACTATAGACTAGACTATAGACTAGACTATAGACTAGACTATAGACTAGACTATAGACTAGACTATAGACTAGACTATAGACTAGATTATAGACTAGACTATAGACTAGACTATAGGACTAGACTATAGACTAGACTATAGACTAGACTATAGGACTAGACTATAGACTAGACTATAGACTAGACTATAGACTAGACTATAGACTAGACTATAGACTAGACTATAGACTAGACTCTAGACTAGACTATAGACTAGACTATAGACTAGACTATAGACTAGACTATAGACTAGACTATAGACTAGGACTATAGACTAGACTATAGACTAGACTATAGACTAGACTAAGACTAGACTATAGACTAGACTATAGACTAGACTTAGACTAGACTAGACTAGACTATAGACTAGACTATAGACTAGACTATAGACTAGACTATAGACTAGACTATAGACTAGACTATAGACTAGACTATAGACTAGACTATAGACTAGACTATAGACTAGACTATAGACTAGACTATAGACTAGACATAGACTAGACTATAGACTAGACTATAGACTAGACTATAGACTAGACTATAGACTAGGACTATAGACTAGACTATAGACTAGACTATAGACTAGACTATAGACTAGACTATACTAGACTATGCTAGACTATAGACTAGACTATACTACTAGACTAGACTATAGACTATAGACTAGACTATAGACTAGACTATAGACTAGACTATAGACTAGACTATAGACTAGACGTATAGACTAGACTATAGACTAGACTATAGACTAGACGATAGACGTTCAGACTATAGACTAGACTATAGACTAGACTATAGACTAGACTATAGACCTAGACTATAGCTAGACTATAGACTAGACTATAAGCTAGACTATAGACTAGAACTATAAAGACTAGACTACTAGCTATAGACTATAGACAGACTATAGACTAGACTATAGACTAGACTATAGAATAGACTATAGACTAGACTATAGACTATATAAAAGACTACTAAAGACTAGACCTATAGACTAGACCTATAGACTAGACTATAGACTAGACTATAGAACTAGACTATAGACTAGACTATAGACTAGACGATAGACTAGACTATAGAACTAGACTATAGACTAGAACTAGAGACTAGACTATAGACTAGACGATAGACTAGACTAATAGACTAGACTATAGACTAGACTATAGACTAGACATAAGACGAGACTATAGACTAGACTATAGACTAGACTATAGACTAGACTATAGACCTAGACTATAGACTAGACTATAGACTAAGACTATTAGACCTAATACTAGAGACTAAGAGCCTTATAGACTAGACTATAGACTAGACTATAGACTAGACTATAGACTAGACTATAGACTAGACTATAGACTAGACTATAGACTAGACTATAGACTAGACTATAGACTAGACTATAGACTAGACTATAGACTAGACTATAGACTAGACTATAGACTAGACTATAGACTAGACTATAGACTAGACTATAGACTAGACTATAGACTAGACTATAGACTAGACTATAGACTAGACTATAGACTAGACTATAGACTAGACTATAGACTAGACTATAGACTAGACTATAGACTAGACTATAGACTAGACTATAGACTAGACTATAGACTAGACTATAGACTAGACTATAGACTAGACTATAGACTAGACTATAGACTAGACTATAGACTAGACTATAGACTAGACTATAGGACTAGACTATAGACTAGACTATAGACTAGACTATAGACTAGACTATAGACTAGACTATAGACTAGACTATAGACTAGACTATAGACTAGACTATAGACTAGACTATAGACTAGACTATAGACTAGACTATAGACTAGACTATAGACTAGACTATAGACTAGACTATAGACTAGACTATAGACTAGACTATAGACTAGACTATAGACTAGACTATAGACTAGACTATAGACTAGACTATAGACTAGACTATAGACTAGACTATAGACTAGACTATAGACTAGACTATAGACTAGACTATAGACTAGACTATAGACTAGACTATAGACTAGACTATAGACTAGACTATAGACTAGACTATAGACTAGACTATAGACTAGACTATAGACTAGACTATAGACTAGACTATAGACTAGACTATAGACTAGACTATAGACTAGACTATAGACTAGACTATAGACTAGACTATAGACTAGACTATAGACTAGACTATAGACTAGACTATAGACTAGACTATAGACTAGACTATAGACTAGACTATAGACTAGACTATAGACTAGACTATAGACTAGACTATAGACTAGACTATAGACTAGACTATAGACTAGACTATAGACTAGACTATAGACTAGACTATAGACTAGACTATAGACTAGACTATAGACTAGACTATAGACTAGACTATAGACTAGACTATAGACTAGACTATAGACTAGACTATAGACTAGACTATAGACTAGACTATAGACTAGACTATAGACTAGACTATAGACTAGACTATAGACTAGACTATAGACTAGACTATAGACTAGACTATAGACTAGACTATAGACTAGACTAGACTAGACTAGACTAGACTATAGACTAGACTAGACTATAGACTAGACTAGACTATAGACTAGATAGACTATAGACTAGACTATAGACTAGACTATAGACTAGACTATAGACTAGACTATAGACTAGACTATAGACTAGACTATAGACTAGGACTATAGACTAGACTATAGACTAGACTATAGACTAGACTATAGACTAGGACTATAGACTAGACTATAGACTAGACTATAGACTAGACTACTAGACTATAGACTAGACTATAGACTAGACTATAGACTAGACTATAGACTAGACTATAGACTAGACTATAGACTAGACTATAGACTAGACTATAGACTAGACTATAGACTAGACTATAGACTAGACTATAGACTAGACTAGACTATAGACTAGACTAGACTATAGACTAGACTAGACTATAGACTAGACTAGACTATAGACTAGACTAGACTATAGACTAGACTAGACTATAGACTAGACTAGACTATAGACTAGACTATAGACTAGACTATAGACTAGACTATAGACTAGACTATAGACTAGACTATAGAC